CTCATTGTGAGTTTCGTCGTAGTTGAATAATCCCCTTCTTATCACGCAGTTTGCAGCAATCTCTGAAATTTTATCCTTATCAGTTATTCTTTTGCTTAATGTTAGTAGATCTTTCAAACGACTTTTACAGTGACGCATAACATGCCACCAGAAATCACAGCTGTCAGCCTTTAAATATTAAAAACCGATAAATTTTCGTGCGAAAAACATGGAGATTCCGGAAGGTTTTTCTCACTACCAACACCATTTCAAAAGAACTCCAAATTAATGTATATTCGTTTTATAACGCATATCTCAGGTCGTTTACGAGATGAGTCTGACTAAGGTGCATAGATGTTTATTAAGATTCTAAATTTTGTGCTATATGGCTTATTTCATTCTGTATTCTCTTACCCTTTATTCAGAGAAATAGTACTTATATATTACCGCAACCACCTTGACTTAATTTAGCGATTTTGTACAGATGAAAAAGCAAAATTTAGTTTTCGGGTTCAAATTGGCGGTTTTGGCTTTTTTTTTTTTTTTTTTTTTTTTTTCTTTTTAGGATTGCCAAAATAACGGTATTTGTTTAGCGCAAGTAGGCAAATATTAGAAATACATCAAAGTAAAACACTTCAGAAATTTAAAATACAAATTTAAATTATTAAATAAAGATTATATGATGCATTAAAAATATTAAAAAATTGCTAAATGCTTCTGCAATTTTTTATTGCGCTGTTCTTTCCATGTATACAGCAATCTGTTTTTCGCTTAAAAAAACATTACAAAACTGCACGTACTCGGCATAGCGTACAACTTCGACATTGTGCACTGGCTATCTACCATCCATTGCTAGCAATCTCTATAAGTACATATTTTAAAACTGAGTTTACGGAAGGAAAGCACTAATTTTCTGTTGAAACTTGAAATACATCAAAAAGAACGCGTAAAAAACGGCGACGTTACTTAATTGAAAGATTATAATGAGTATGGTTGCCTGAAGAATGATTATATAGATGCCTGCTAGAACTTGTCACATTGTCACTTTCTGAAATTTTGACAAATTCAACTAAGGTGGTTGCGATAATACCTAACTAATCGAGGATATAATTTATCAAAGTTGTCCTGACCTTAGTAATATATTATATATTTGTGTAAAATGAAATTACATACAAAGATTGGTTAAATCTTCGTATAAAGTTCTACAAATGTCTACAGCTGATTAAGCCAATTGAGATTAAATAAAATTTAATAAGAAAAGTCGCTCTGAAAATCCTTAGAATTGGAGGATGAAATTTTTCACAATTTAAGTTTCATTAATTGAATAAATTCCCTTTATTGCTAGGAAACATTTTCCTTTGTAACAGGTAAAAATTAAAATCCAGTAAAACTGTAAGAACTGGCAGCTAGGAGAAATTCTTTAATAAGTAATAAAGTTTTTAATATAATATTCTTTTAGATCTCTTCTTGCTCGAACTCAAATTTCTTAAAAAGTCTGTGATAAATATTCAGTTGGCTCTTGTGAGTCAGACTTTTGTGAGAACGACGTGAAAGCCAGAAATAGGTGTTCTGTTATTGTAGTTTTTTCGAAAGAGAATTCTGTCACGGCTTGTAACTTCTGAGAGAACTATTAGCTACAGATAATTGTTTGGCAGCTATGACAGGATGGGAAAAAGTGACTGGTCTGGAATTCAAAATGCCCTATGATTTTGAAACATTCTTTTAAAGAAGCCTCGGGTGAAGAGAGGTCCTGGACTTCCGCATGTTCAGACGGTGGAGTCGTGTTCTGCTTCAATGTCAAGGTGAGCCACCAACACTGCGGGGGTCCCGTGAAGTAGGGAGCGCATATCGCAAGAAAACGAAAAGGATTAAAAAAAAAAAAAAAAAAAAAGAAAGAAAGAAAGAAAGAAAAAAAACGTTTTCACCCATCTAATTCCTTCCTTGCTTGTTGGAGAGGAAGGTATGTTGTAATACCAGAACTGATCTGTAAAACATCAGAAATAGCGTGCTAGTTTTGAGAACTTTTTTCCAACGAAATCAGTATTTAATGGCCTGTATTATAAAAAAAGATAAGGTTAAGTATTTTTTTTTCCTTCCTACTGTTTGATAAGTTACGTGTGCACGCTCTTTAAATTAACATTTAATTTTTCTGTCTTTTCAACATTATTTTTTTGCTGCTTTTAATAAAAGGGCACTTCTTTTTCTTGATTTTTTTTAATCTGCTCCACTTTGCATAGCGTTGTTTAGTCACAAGTGCCATTCACAATTTCTCTTGATTTCTTTTCTTTTCTTTTTTTTAAAATACGAACATCAAATTTTAAGAGTTTACATTTTCCTCAAAAACTCGATATTGTTTTGTAAAGTAGAGTATGACATAAATGAAGTCTTATTTTAAACGACTATCCTCCGATTTATGATACTTGAGATAGCTAGACAAGATATTTGTTTGGACTGTTAATCCGTGTCACATCAATTTATCTGTTAGGAAATAATTTACTATGTCCAGAAATAGTATCTTTTTAACAGTTAATTTCCTTTTAATTATATTTAACACTCGTGAAGAAAAAAAAAATCACTCATCTGTTATGACTTTTGCTTCAACTTTAACAAAGAATGATTTTCACAACATTTTTCTGGCTTTCCAGTATTACATCGCTTTGAAATAAGTCCGACTTAATGTGTCCTGTTTGGATGGCAATATTTTTGTTTGGTATACCACATCTGTTGTTGTAATTCAATTAACAATACTATAGCTCAGATGAATCAGAATTTTTGGGTGATTTTATATTTTTTCGAGTAACGTTTTCGTGAATTTGTTAACAGAGAGCTTTAACAAAGTTAATGAAAAGAAGAAAGCAGCGAAGAATAATGGTTAGGATCACTACGGAAGTGAAGAAAGGCATTGTTGAAAAATATATATGAAGATATCATGCATATCGGGAATTTGGCTAATGCATACTGTATACCGAGAATGATGGCCTCTATGACGGCCTCTATGACTGTGAAAAACAAACTGCATTAAATCGGCTACTGTTGCGATGGAGATGAAACTGATTACTAAGCAAAGATAAAAAAAAAACTTAGAGCATATTGAGAAATTGTGTTAATCTGGACAACAGAAAAAAAAGTTATGCACGGTATTTATATACAGTTATATTTCTGACACTGCATTTATATTTTAATACTAAAGAGCGCTATAATGATAAAAAGAACGATTTTGTTTCATAAGAACGGATTAATTATTTTGCCTTTATTTCTTATTGGAAAGTTTAATATACGTCTAGTTCGGTGTATGTCTAAGGATCAAGAACAGATAAATGCAATATACCGAAGTACTGATGTACTTGTTTATGACTTTGCATAATTTTTCAGAATAAGATATCTTTTTCCCTTTTCTTCTTTTTTCTCCTAAGCACTGGGAAAAGCTGCTTCTGTCGTTAATTACATTTTCGGGAGAAATCTTGGCGCAATCAAAAATCTTTGCATATGGCAAACTATCTTTTATTAATATTCCATACTGCAATATTCCTTATATTAATAGCAACTGTTTAAAAACTGTATGCATTACATAACAATATTCTGATCTATTTAATGAGAGCAGATTTTGTTATTTTATACCATTATAAGTTGATCCAAAAGTCTAGTTAACCTTCATGTGCTTCGTAAGATATGCATTTGTTGCCTACATTTGACATTTAATGTAGGATATTAGCCGTTAATTTGCTGATAATGAGCCTCGTATCGTCCCCGACCCGTTTGGGGAAGTGTTATAGCCCATCAAAATCATATGTTGCATGAATGGTTTGTTCCATTGCTCCAAAGACAGAATCTTTTAATCAGTCACCAGCTTCAACAGGATAGAGCTCCTTGAATTTTTTATAAAAAGATAATTTCCCCCCCCCTTTTTTTTTTCTTTTCTTTAAACAACGAAGAAACTGTTAACTACCTTTTTGTAAGAAAATTTTGTTTTGGCAAAATCGGGGTGGGCTACGCCATCAGTGTCAGAAAATTCCTAAGTGATACCCGACCGAGTGGCTGACCAGAAACAGCGATCTCTCATCGAGTAAAAATGCCTTATATGGAACATTAACTCCATTTATCATAATAAAGGTACCAGAAGATTGAAGAGTCGGAAAATTCTGTTAAAGGAGGCATTTGAAAGAATCGCAAAAATTATGCTTTAAAACTTCAGACAGAATATGTGTAGAGGCATTAGGTTTAATTTAGGAGTCATGAACAATGCCCGTGCCGGACTTTAAACCTCTCGAATATGATCCGAGCGTGCTGACCATTACACCACGAAGGCATGCTGCCGGAGAAATGCCGCATACATGAAGTCTCAGTATTTTGTCGGGGCTGTTAAGGCATTCATCCGATAAGCTGGATGTTTAACCAGCCGGTGTTTAGTCATATGAAATGGATATAAATGTGGAATATACATCTGCGCATAGAATATGAAGAGTTACAAGAGCTTTTACAGTACTGATAGCATAATTAATAAGATGGTTTAAGTTTAATACCATGTGTTGCTCAATGACAGAATCTCTCTCCAACTCTTTTATTCATACATTGCAATTGTATGCTGAAAATTAAAATTAACGATAATAAAGCTTTATTCCAATATATAGATTGCTAGCATTTAAATTTCTCTTTTTTTTTAATTTTATTTAAAAAGTAAAAGTGTTTCTTTGTTAAATGCCAAAAAGTGGTATTATATTTGTTTAAGAAAATAAATTATGTACTTGTGTGGTTGCTTGTCGGTTTGTATTTTAGCAACTTTGTTTATAAGAATGTTTTAGTTTAGTTTGCAAATTGTATGTTCACTACGCTATCTTTCTGCTCCCCCACTAAAAAGAATTGTTTTATGAAATCGCATATTTTCTATTGCGAAGACACAGTAACCCGTTTGTTAAGCCACAATGGCAACCCGATATCTTTTAGTATACGTCTAGTTTGGTTTTATTAGGCTGAATTCCGAAGGACACATTAAGTTTTTAATTATTTTGCTTATTTAATTTCAGATCAAGGCGGGGGAAGTGTTCCAGTTCCTAGGTGCATATGAAGACACCACATATACTTCCAAGCACTCCAAGCCTTTACGCTATGCTAAAGTGGTGGACAGGCAAGGTGACCTTCTCTACTTACCTTTCCCTACACCAGGCAAGTTCTTCTCTGTTGCCGGACGTCGGACACGAAGTGTGAGCCACGTCTACCGGTTGTCCCAGCTACTGTCGGTGGCCAGTCTCCCCCTGACGGTTCGAGTCGTGAGTGGGGAGAGGCCCCGAAGCGCCCGTTGCCCCTTCACCGGACTCCTGAGGCTGGAGTGGTCGGAAGAAAGGCATGTTATTCTCGCCTGCGCTTTGAGAGGTGGCCTCGGAGGCGGAGAACCAACGCTATTGGAAGTGGACACTGGTAGCGAATTCAGTTTCCTGAGGCCGCTTGATGATCAAAAAGCAAGGCTGTCCAAAGCATTCCATAGGATGCTTCGGTAAGTCAAAGTTTTAATTTTTTCATATTCTTTGCTCTTTTTCGAGATACAGGTTTAGAAAACCAGTCAATAGTTCCAACCTTCCAGCTCCATAACAGAGCCGGAGATATACATGCTGCTACATTCCAACTTTTAACAGCCGCATTCCAACGGCGCAATGCATGTTGCCACCATGGAGGTAAGAATTACTTCCATGGTTGCCGCTCTGTGGGTCCTAAATTTTGCAACCCGGGCCTCCCCTCAATTCTAAACTTTTTCATGCTTCTATTTTATTTTGTCCTGTGCTTCTCCTAAATTCTGTAAATTTCGCCGGTTTTAAGTTTTGCTGCTGGATGCTTCTCTGAATTCTAAAATCTTTGGTGTCTGTTAATTTTTGCCGCTTGATGGGAGTTGCTCCGGCTTTGGCTCCAGCCTTGCTTCTGAACAGACTTTCTCCTAGAGATATACGTGTTACATGAATACGAGCCAACTGCCCTTAAAATGGCCTCTACGATGCCAATCCTCTCTTTAGGCAGGTAGCCCTCGAATGCTTTGTAATAATACCATCTCTAAACACTTAAGATATTAGTCAAGATATGAGCAAAAAGGATTCTTTCTTAGCACTGCATGAAACTTTGCTAATGAAAGAGAAGGAAAACTCCATAAGGACCTTGGTCAACCAGTTTTAGTTAATTCAGACCTTCGCAAAGATACCCAGTAGTCTGATGAAAACTAGTTTCAAATTTCAGCGATAGTCAAATTTTATGAAGCTGTCAGTACTCTTATGGTGGGCTACTCTGATTAAGAAATCAATCTTGCCAGAAAAGAATCAGTTTTTAACTTGAACCCCTTTCCCAAAAAAAAAAAAAAAAAAAAAAAAGGAAAGGGAAGAAAGAAAATCCTACGTGAAAAATTAACTTGTCTGATGTGAGACACTCGCGAAGTTTCTCTTTTATCAAACCATGGTTGGTACGCATAAAAGACACTTCCCAGGGCAACGGTCTGGGTTGTGAATTTTTTGTAAAGAAAGTCTTTGATTTGGCTTTTTTTAGTTTATTTATTAATTTATTATTATCTAACAGTTTACTTCCTCCGTCCGAAAGTCCAGTTCACATTTGAAAATGTTGTGAAAATTAATGCAGCATATGTGAAGAATTATTATGACGTGTCGTTATGTGTGAATTCATACGCTGGTCAAACAAGTGATACATAGTGGCCGATGTTTGATTTCGTATGTATCAAAAAATCAACAAATTTACGCGGGAAGTTGTAATCTAGGACCTTCGAATGCTGAAAAAGAGAAAGTAGGTTGGTTCCCGAGAGTGGAAAGGGAAATTTGACTAAACTAAACGAATATGGCAATGCTAAGCAAATCTTCACATAAATCTGCACACATGTCAAATGTCACGAACTTAAGCAAACACTTCAGCACCAAAGTGATATTTATATCAGTTGTCGGCGGATCACTTAACGATTTACATGCAAATTGTTTGATGGTCAAATCTGGATATGACCCTTTACCAAGAAGCGAAACTCGGAAAAAGTCTAAAGGCACTTGTAACAAAAAATGTGAAATCCGTGTAGCAAAAATACCTTAAAATTTCTTATATTAATAAGGTCAGGCTTTGTCGTAAACGAAGATTACCTCAGTGTGTTCAGAAGAAGCTATGTGAAAGGCTAGTTATCCACCTGAGTTGAGATTAATTTATACACTTAAGACTGAATTCAAGCTGTAATTAAAGTTGTATAGCATAATTTCAGATTTAAAAAAAAATCTTAATGTGTACCTTATTTTCGGACAGAGGGAATGTTTCCGAGTAAAAAAACCCTAAAGAACTGATAGATTTGACATGTTTGAAGATTTGATTAAGAAGGATGAAAGGAGAAATTTCGAACGTTTAGCTGAGATTCTTCTTTACAAAAAGTCTTCCAGCTTCAAGTAGAAAGATAAAATATTATGATACGGATATATACATGTTTCAAAAAAAATTTTATCTTGTTAGTTTCAAAATTTTATCAAAAATCTATTATAGTTGATATTTTAGACTCTCCATATCTGTAAACTTTAGTGTTGTGTATAGTAACTGGTTGTTAGTATTGTTATATATATTTTAGAGGAGTACGTACTTGAGAGTGTTTTTCGAAATAGTAATATAGAAAAGTGCATCTTAATGATAAAATGTCTGTTTAAGTCTAACGTTAACCATGCTTACAAGAATTTAGCGCAAGCCGAAAGAGTATTTTGCAGATTTCTGGTGTTACAGTGCAACTTTTTCTTGGATTATGGAACAATGCAGAAATTTTCAAATTGATTTCAAAAATTAAAACATAATAACATGATAAAAAATTTTAATAAAATAAACTTTTATTTAAAACTCATAAAATAATTAAAGAATAAAAGTCTAATTTATCACATTGTTTAATAGGAGCAAGACATTAAATAACCATTACAAAATTCATATACAATTTTACACCGCGAATAAAAGAAGTGAAATGAATAACACTTGATTAATTTATAAAGATAAGGTTAGGTTATTTAATTACAGCAGAAGCTCAAGGGCTATCTGTCTAAGGGACGGGATGCCTTAGTAGAGGATTTTCTAAGGGCTCGTGTACACGTTACACATAAGGAAAATCACGGAAACACCCATGCAGCCAGCCCGTTCGCGGAATTCGAACCTCGGACCGAACTACCAGTGTTCAGCGATTTTACCGCTCGGCCGCTGGTGGGCCTTTATAAAGATAACGGCAACGGCTAATGCTTTCGAAAATGCAATTTGATCATTTTGGTTTTGCATTTTTTAGGCGTCCACACTTTTATTATTCATGACATGAAACTGTAGAGTAATTTTATAAAGAGAATTATTCAATCTCTTGTTTCCATGATATTAGATAAATTACTTTTCTAATTTTAATTTATTATTTTATGAGTTTTAAATAAAAGATTATTTTATAAATAAAAGTTATTCTTTTTACATTTTCACTCAATTAAATTATTAAATTGAAAAAGCGTTTTTCAGCAATGAATAATCACTCTTTTACGTCCGACTATTGTTCACGTCAAATGATCGAAAACATCCAACATTTTTGTCAAAAAATTAGAAAGTAATGGTAAATTCTATTATGTGCTTCATTTAAAACTTTTTTCTGCTCTAACCGATGATGAAAACAATGAAACTGAGGTTTTTAGCTGTTAGTTACACGAAAATACTGATAAAAATTCATTGAAACTCGATTGACCATATTTTTGTGTACTGCGTTTTTCTATAATTCAAAACCAGTTTTGAAAGTATTACTTAAATTATTAAAAAGTTATTTTGTATCACATTGTTTATAGATCAACAATTTTGCGCCTCCCGGAAGCGTTCTTTAATAATGTTCGAAAATTTCAAGTCTTTATAACAAATACATTTTTAGATGGAACAGTTTTAACGCCGTAAACACACACCAATAAAATTAAGAAAAAAAGCCCCATAAACATACCACAATTAAATTTAAAAAAAATCATCTCTTAATGAATGCTGAGTCTCCTAATGAAACACGCATATAATTTCCGAAACGAGAAAATTTTCAAATGACTGTGTAGATTGCATTATGACACAGTAAGATCATATCCTTGGAGCTATGTTTCTCGGCAATGCCGAAAAAGAACAATTTTTGTTTCATTATGTGGCATATTTTGTTTTTCACGCAGAAAATCTCTCGGTTAAATATATTTTATTATTCTTGTTTCAATAAAAGTGAAGAGTTTGTTTTTTAATTTGAGATAAGCTCTACATTTTTTAACATTTTTAGACGTTGAACTTTTAAAATTATAAACGTTAAATAATAGAAAAAAATCGAGCAATTTTCAAATATTCTCCAAGACGTTAAAATTTTTATCAAATTTCATTTGAAAGATTATTGTTCACTCTATTCGATGGTGTGCAAGCAATAAAATTCTGAGATTTTTAGTTTTTTCTTTAAATGAAGAATGCACGAAACATTTTTAAAAAGCATCAAATTAAAAAATATAAATCGGATTTTTAAAACCCTCACTTCACCATATTACATTGTCATCAACAAACAAGGTATGCACAAAATTTGAACTCGATAGCTTATCAGGAAGTAAGATAAAAATCGATAACAAAATCCCGACCGTAGCGACAAACACCGTGAGTATTCTAAATAATATCTTATAAGTATAAAAAAATTAATATACTTTTGCTGACTAAAATCAGTTACTTTAAAGAAGTACCTCTCCTTTGGAAAACTACAAACCGTAATATCAGTTGGCGTGGTTTCGGAAAACTTCAAATATTCGTGCAGCAAGAATTCTTCCGAACAAAGCTTTTTTTTTTTCACTTTGGTCATTCCTAAATTTAAAAAATGCTAACATTTTTCATTCGAGGTCTTTTTTGCTCGGACGAACCAGCTACTCGAGACGATTATCCCCATATTTGCTAAATTTTTTATGTAAAATGATTTCACAGAAATCTAATGGTTCCTTTATGTCTGAATATACTTGCGTCCTGTGGTTCATTCACCGGGTACAAACAGCATTCTTTGTGGTATTTTTTTGGATTCTGTGCACGTTATCCATCCTTAATTTTCTGTCTCTTCTGCGGAATCACTGTCGCTTACAAATTCACTATTACTCTGATTTTTCGCCTTCTTACACCTCTTACATCATACCTTCTTACCGTCTTACACCTCTGACCTCACTGCTTTCATCCTCTCTATAGTTAAGTAATCTTTGCAAGTAATTTCTTTCTTCATCAACGAAAAAGTGAACTCATCTTCACTTGAACTGATTCATCGTATTCTATAGTTATTGGATTCCGCAAGTTTGAAAATAATATTCCTATTGCCATGATTGCCGAGTTCGGATTAATGTCAAAGACTCATATATAATAACAAATCTAAAATCTTAGTTATATTTAAACCCTTAATCTACAATGACGGGCACAGCCCGCGTACGATAGTCGGGCCAAACCTAACTTTCACGGGCATAGCCCGCGTACGGTGATCGGACCAGAAGTGAATATTACGTGGAATATTTGATACACAATTACAGTCTGATGCAATAACTGTGGTAGACGTAAGTATTACAAAATGTTTATTTATACAAAACTCCAAAATACAATATTAGTAATCTGTAACGGTATGCTATATTTCAAAGCATTTTGGTACATGTAGCGCGGAACTTTACACTTTTTACACTCTTGTTTTGTGTGGATTTTCTCGTACTTGATCTGATTCGTTTCGGTTACAATATTGTTCCAAAATATGTCATCAAATATTAGATTAAATATATCAAATTCTACTCTACTTCCTCCTAATTGACATAAAGCCTTCCTCTCTTATGCCAGGAGTTATCGTATAGTCCCAGATTTTTGGACTATTTCTTATTTCTTTCCAAAGCCCAGGACTCTGGTAGTTGATCGTCATCGGATGTGTCATCAATAATTATTCACCTATACTTTCTTCGAAAATTACATAATTCTTCATGTTTACAATTGCCCGGATTAGCGTGTTACACAACTCGTGCAAATGTCCCGAACGCTGCGCGAGCTTGTATACAATTTCGGCCCAATATCTTCGAATCTGAATCGCAGGTTAAGGGGTTAAAGATTGGCGTTTTATACGCATCTATTGTTGAATACGCTCATGAAGGAATATTGTCCAAGCCAAACCTAAATAGTCATCGTTACCACTCGAATTATTGCGTCAGACGGAGTGGTGATCGAGAGTCACCCCATCAAATCCTGTTACCACGATTACAGAGTTCGAATTAAAGTCGAAGACTCGTATATAATAATAAATCTAAAAAAAAAAAAGTATTTAAAGATTGGTAGTTGTTTTATACGTATCTATTGTTGAATACACTCAAGAAGGAATATTGCCCAGACCAAACCTAAATAAACGTCGTTGCTGCTCGAATTGTTGCGCCAAACGGATTGATGATCGAGAGTAACCGCATCAAATCAAATGGTGACCGAGAATCACCTATCGTGTGCAAAGGGTTAATAAAATGGCAATGCAAGTTACCAACTTGGGGGTGGGGGGAACCTTTGTCGAGTTAATAATTAACTATTTTGTAATGAATAGTTGGAGATATTTAGAAACGTTACAAGTTTTATTGTTTACTTAGTAAAGAATATTTTAAGTTAGTGAAGACATGTTTTTAATCTAAATACTGCTGAGCTTATTATAATTTCGATAATTAAGGTTCCAAATTCCTTCTTAGACACTGTACTGAGCGGGGAGAAAATTGGAGGCAACAAATTAAAGTAGCGCATCACGTGGTGCCAACCATGAAGACGACTTCGTCTCAAAATGGTGCAGGGTCCAGTGGTGATACTTACGAAGATGAGGACTCGGCTGTCAGGTGAGAATTGTTTTCTGCATACGCTTTTCCTCGTACCACTTAAATACCATAAATGTTTTTTGTATTTCTTTAAATTTTACAGTATATATCTGTGTGTAGGCTTTTACTTTTAAAGTCCGTTTTTATCGCATAATTCTCATTCTCCCAGTTTTTTATCTTATCTCCCCATAGATCCCAAGACTCTTACGAAAGATACTCTCTTCCAGAAATGGAATTTTTTTTAACCCTAAACAAAAAAAAATATTAAACATCTCAGTTCAGAACTTTGGAAAAATTAGTTTTGTTGGCGTCCAATAAATTGCGATTATTACATAAGAACGCGATATTTTCTATTTCTGTGACTTTCAATCACTAATATCATCTTTTCATTTGCCATACTGTTAATTTTCTGGAGAGGAATTAGTGTTCTACTTTTAGTGTTCTATGCGGATTCTTTAAATAATTCTACCAACTGTACATTTAATTCGATTTCGGAAATTCCTTCTGAGGGGATGGGAATTTTGTAACTTCAGAAGGGAATGCAGCCCACCTTATAATTAGCTGTTAAGTATTTAATTTTAGTTTATGAATATAAGAAACTAATTTTATTCATGTTTTGGTATTTATCCACATTGTAGTTTTGGCTTTTTGTAGTTTAATTTATGAAACACATTAAAAATTAATCTAAATAAATGTATATATATTTAGAATTTTGGAAAGGGAAATTAACTTTTGTTGAAAGGGGTGCATGGGACAAGAAAGATTGAGAACTACTCATTTAAAATTCTAGTAAATTTTAAATTTTCAGCTGTTTATTGAAATATATTTTTTGCCAATTATATTAGGAATATGAACTTCAAAATTCTAGACTTTTAATTTTGTACTTTCACAAAATTTCGTTTGTAACTTCTTAATAAATACATATTTTTTAAAAACCTTTGGCCTCGGATTTGTTTCCAATTCAATGCAAATTTGAAATTTTGCTTTTAGTTCAAAACGTTTTATATAAAGGTTTTTCTTTATTTATTATATGAATGATTGGGAAGATTGTAAAATCTCTTAGAACTTGGAATTCGAGAAAATTTAATATACTTTTTTTTTATTAGAAACGGAAATGAAGGTTTGGGTGTAAAAGAGAACTGCATGTGTCCTATTATATATCGCTTTTAATTAAAAAGTATTTTGAGATTAAAGTTTCCATTAGATCAAACCTTCGGTTGCAAATATACACAAACATGCACTGATTTACAAAACTGTGGTAAAAAGCAGATTTTCGATGCTTAAATTTAGCTGCAGACAGATAATTTGAACTTTTTATAGTAGCCAAGTGATTTGTCCTGGGTTCGTTGCTAAGCGAATAGGTTAGCTTGCATGGCTGATTTTTAATTGTTTTTCCCATAAGTAATGTGAATGCGAGCCAGTTTTCTTTAGAAATTCCTCCCCGTAGGCATGCCTCTCCTGAGCAGATATCCTTTGGGAGATTTGCCGTATTAAAATAGTCTTCCCTAACTTTGACATTACAAAATTTGTTGATCTGAAGAAAATTAAATGTAAGTTTTTATCTTCCCATCCCCCCAAAATGAAAAACTTGCATCGAACTCTAATTTGAGAACTGGATACATTATAGAGGTTGAAACCAAGAATTATTAGAAGCATCCAACTCTTATCGTTAGATTTTTTAACTTTATCATCATCATTGAAACCCGTTTCTGCTGATGCTGATTTTTTCAACAGAATTTGAAAAATCAAAATTGATATTTGTTTGGTTACAGACATTGCTATAAAAAGTTTTTGAATGATGTCTTTTAAACGGTTACTTAAGAATCGTGCACAATTTTCTTATCGTTAACACTACACGTTGAGACGTTAAGCATATAGCATTTAAAATTTTATCCATATCTAGTTTTCTAATTTGTAGAAAATCCGTTATGTTGCTACGAATTATCTTCAAAGGTTTTTTTTTTTTCAATGTAAGTCATTTTACAGGTCTTCGGTTTCCAATAAATTGACAACTGCGGAAACCGTGTCTATTATTTTAACAACTGAATACTTATAAGTCAGGGGTAAAAATTCCTTTGTATAATTAAATAATTTTAATCGAAAGAACAGACGTTAAAAACATACGTGATATGTATGTAAATAAGAAATCTGTAAGATCAAAATTCCAGCTGCTTAGGTAGCTTGAAGCGAGTCTCCGAAGGCAATTAACATCCTTTCCACTCAATAACAATAAACATTAATATTTATTACTTCAGTCTGTTGACCAGAGTGTAGATCACTGAAAACATTTTAACCAACAGAAAGAAAAATTAATCTATTCAGTATTGAAAGAAAAAGCGATTAAATTGCTTCTTATAATGCTTGTCATTAAGAATGTTATTATTGATTGTTTCTTGCATATTGTTCTTTTCTATTTTGTTTGCTACACCAAGTACATTCATATTCATTCTTTTTTATTTTTTAACTATGTGCATGTTTTGATTAACATGCACATAGTACATGTTTGATTAAGTATGTACTTGGTTTATAAAACATTCCTGACCTTAAAAAGTTAAAATAATGTTTGCATGTTCCTGACCTGAAACGTTAAAATAATGTTTGCATGTTTTTATCTTGTTTGTTGTGTTTTAGATCTTAAAAAAATGAATTTTTAACCACCAAAGTTTTTGCATATATGTTTTGGGGGACAATAGAGCATTCTGATGAAATTTTTTAAAGTTCTACTTAGATAATTTTTTTTTTATTTAGTGATTCATTTTTCTGATAAATCCATGCTTAACGGTCAAACAAATCATCATGAAATTTTTATTTTTATGCCATCGGTTAGAATGAAAAATAGTCTTCCAAATAAAGGTTTTTTGAAGTTTTTAATATAATTTTCCTAAAATATATTCCATTTTTTTATTACTCACGTAGTTGCTAACGCTGAAGCATTTTTATATCAAAAGATTTAATATTTCATTTTTAACGCGCTCATGACTTTTTAGTACGGTGTGAAACAGATTGGTAAGTCAAGCAAAAATTTAAATAAATGCCAAATTGAGCAAACTGTTAAGCAGCAGTGATTTTCTATCTTTAGTATTTTACTGTACTCTGTAGAATGAAAAGTATAAAATACAATGTACAAAAATCTTAATTATGCGGTTTTATTATATGCGCTAAAAGATTTTTTTTTAACTATCGAAATATTCTTGATCATATCTAACTAAAAACAAAATCCTCAGGCTGATACAATGGCAGATTTTAAATCAAAATTGTTAAAAATTCTAACGAATTGATTAAACTCATTCTTATTTAATTCCTATATTGTTATCTCAGATTATATATTAATGTGTTATATAATCCTTACATAGGCGCGCTTCAGTTTTAAATTGTACATGATGAAGAAAGTAATGGTAGCTAAAATACAGGATGACCCAAAAGTCCGTTAACATTTGAAAATTCAATAATTCACAGAATAATATAGTTAGAGAGGTAAAAATTGATACACATGCTTGCAATGATATGAGGTTTTATTTAAAGCAAAACGGGGGGATGACATGTGGCGCTGGGTAGCAAAATGTCAGCGACGCCGCATGAGAATCGTGTATGAAATGTGCTATACTAAAAGAGGGAATCAGTCCCTTCATGACTTTGTCACTTTTCTATCCTTGCCTTTGGGTGTTTGTCACGGTGTGATATGGATTTATCATATTAATCGTGATCGGACCCCTTTTTCTTAGAGGAAATGCGTGGCTCTGCTATTCAAACTGTCAGTGTGACGCCTGCGAAGTGCGCTGATATGTTACAGAATTGCATCATCTCTAGTCTGGCTGATAAATATGTTGAAAGGTTATGTCTTTTGTGCAGGATGGCGCTCCTCCGCATATCGCTACACGTGTGAAAGATTGTCACACGTCTTTTGGTGACGGTCGCGTGCTGAGCCTCCACTTCCATCACGCTTAGCCCCTCAGATTTCAATCTGTATGAATATTGGTTATGGGGTTAGCAAATCGCAAGTCTACCGCGATCGTCTGACCTCATTAGGACAACATTTTTCGCATATGTTGTACAGTGCTATTCATAACATTATCCCTTGACTGCAGGTATTGTTGATAAATGACGGCCGATATGTTGAACATTTGTTATAAAGAATCTAGTTTTAGCTATAAATCAGTTCTGCTAATAATTGCTTTTGCTATCATATGAAGCGCCATCTGTTGGCCATTTTAAGAACGTTTCTGCTTTCAATAAAATTCCATGACATTTCAAGCATGTGTATCACTTTCTACCTCTCTACCTACAATATTCAGTGAATTATTGAATTTTCAAATGTTAACGGACTTTTAAGTCGCCCTATATTTTCACTCTACATTGCACTTATTTGAAGACAAGTAATTTAAAAATATTTTTGGGCATTTTATTTCTCATTGTCTTTCACTCAACCCATTTACATTTACTGTTGATGAGAATATATTTTTATCAATTAATTGCTTTAGAAATTAATAATTTATGACAATTTCAGTCTAACATGAAGCTTTTATATCATCTAACACAACTTCTGAAGACTTGAGAAATATTGTTTCTGGACAAGCAAAATAAATGAAATATTAGTACTTATCTTAATTGATGGTTTTGTATTGTAGTAGTTTGATATATAAAATTCAATTTAATTTTTTAATGTAACCGCAGTTTCAAATGCGTTAATGCCTTTCCACAAATATGTTTAACAACAGATAAGGCATTTTCCCTATAAACAACCAGATAAATTGGAATTTTTTAAAGTGGGATCTCTTTCACCTCAAAAGAATAAAGAATTTAATACTTTTCATTTTAATAATGCTGCAAATTAATGATAAAACAGTTATCAAGAAAATTTCTTTGGAAAGATTGAGACTGTATTAGTGCTTTCGAACAACGAATGAAAATTAGCTTCAAATATAAAAATAAAATATTTAGAGATAATTTATTTTTTACTAATGTCTTTTTTTATTATGTAATTAAAAACATCCATTCAATAATAGAAACTTCTCTGCAAAATAAACCTTTTTTAGCATTATCGTGGATTAATTTCATACTCTTCAAAACAAAAAATTTATATTTAAACCTTATAATCCACCCAAAATTAATAATTTTTATTTCATTCTGTAGATGGCAGTTTTATTAATAAAATAGTTTCATTATGGGACCAAAAAGATTTATCTATTTCCCCAAATGTATATTACAAGGATTTTCAGAAAGAATATTTATACTTTATTTTCCTGTAAATTTAATTCTTGCAATAAACAAATATGTCATTCATCACTTGATAGGGAAAAGATTGTGCTCTTATGTTATTTGAAAGTAAGTGTTCCTCATCATTGAATGTCAAAGTGCACAATATAAGTCTTGTACTTTGTTGTTGAGTTTCCAATTCCTCAGAACTTTGTAACACACGTTTTCGTCCATGAATTCGTCAAAGCTGCCGCGCATGAGCCGGCATTACACGTTAACACGTTACCTGAAAATCGTCAGAAAATTATTCTAGCGACGTATTCCATAACTTTTGTACAGCTAGAAAATATGTGTCACAAAATTGGATACTCAGTGCTCTCAATACTTACTCGTGCGCCTCTACGTTAACAGCCGTTGCCATGCATTACATACATGAACAAAATATCTATCACAGTAAACTTTTATCTTTTCTATAGCACATGTTGAATTACAAAATATTGCGTTATATCAAATGAGATATCTTCAAATAAGTAAAATCTCCTCTTCGTTTTTGGAAACAGTCTATAGAATCGTCCTCTGTAAAATTTTCTCTGATTGATTACTGTTCTAATGAATACAATGGCTATAAAAACCTTCACTAAAATAAAATAATTATAAAAATCTTCAGCTTTCATCAAAGGCTATAAGAAGGGCTATATATAAAAGGGCCTTCTTTCTACATATAAAAGTGTTTTATAGATTTTGAAAAAGGCCCTTTTATATATAGCCCTTCTTTGAAATCTAAAAAACCTTCAATCTCCTTCAAACCTTCAATGTTTGTTGAAGCCAGGCCATGTTGTAAGTGGTTTTGTAAAATATTCTTTTAATTTTCTAGGTCTTCAACCGTGAAATCAATGTCTTCTACCAAATCTTCTGCTTCTTCTCGGTTGTTCAAAAGACTGAGGCTTCTGCATCAAAGCTGGAAAGGCAGTGCACATCGAAGTTCTAACAACAATGCTAGCAGTAGCGATGACAGTGGAATCCGGAAGGACACCATGTCACGACACCATTCCTCTACCTCGGACTTCCATTTGTACGAAAGAGTGAGGGATGCTAGAGGTGCTCAAAGAAGAGCCAGCTGGGGAAGGTCCTCGATCAGTACCGAGATCCTGGACGATGATGGGTACGTTACCTCGGATTTTGGTGGAGAAGATTCTTCAACTTACGATTCTGTGTGCTGACCGTAAATGACGAACTTATGCCTTAGTAGACGCTGCAGAGAACATATCCAAGGCTTTATATAATGTATTGCTCAAATGAGGATGAACATTTTGATACGATAGAGGTGAGGGTACGCAAAGAATAAACAAACAGAACTCTTTATAAGGAAACACCACAGCTAAGTGTTCTGCATTTACCTCTACAGTTAACTGTTCCACACCTAAGCAACTCATTGATATCAACGGATAGCTCTAAAATTGTGAAAAATATATTAGATTAATTATTGAGAAGGCTATGATTGCTCATGGCGTAATTTCTGCTTTATTTAATTTTCCATTGTTCAAATTTCTGTTCTCCTTATGCCCTAAGTATTTACCTGTGATTATTGACCAAAAATTAGAGCATCGTATACCAGTTTTACTGTGTATGAAATGAACTGTGATTCATAGAATTCATATCGTCATCCATAAACATTTTTCATATTTTTCAAACAATCACGAATTGATGACAGCTTCCATTTGCCCATCTGCCCAACACTTTCATATCTGTAATAATTTTCATCTCCATTTCCAGCCTTCGTTTTACGAAATAAATTTATGGCTAAAAGCCTTATACGATTTGAAATGGGCAACAAAATTTTCTTAAATAAATATCCGTAGAACTTAGCTTCTGTTGTAGGATAATAAAATACGAATCAATTTGTGAAGTGAATAATAAAAGTAAAATAATGTTTCCAGTGCATACAAAATTGGGTAATGCTTCAAAGATTTTGTTCATTTCAAAAGTAATGTGTAAAGGCAATACTTCTATGATAAGCTTTTGATTACAGCGAAATTTGCATATTTATATTCAGTGGTCGGAAATCGTGTTCATTATATTAAAATCTTTCATACATATTCATTTCATCAAAAAGCAGAATTCAAATCTTTATTTATTTTTTTTTTTGCCTTTAGCTGTATATGATAGTTAACCGTGTGTAAGTTAGTTTTTCTGTTTTCAACTTTTTGTATTTTAATTTTATAACTTCAGAAATCTAGGTTCTAAAACCTTTTACCAAGCCACCATTTTCTTTCTACAAACTGTGATTATCATCTAATATTGTTTCTTTTGAAATGCTTTGTGTAGTTAAGAGTTTTAAAAGGAAAAAAAAATTTTTCACTTAACAATTGATCATTTCATACTTCATCTTCATTTCTAATTTTTCAGCATGTGGTTATGAGTATACTTAAGTGCATATAAGAATTGCAAGCTGTGTTATATTTTCCTTTAAGAGACTGTTTATTTTTTGCAAAAAGTTGGAACTTTTCATAGAAGAAATTCTAGAAATTCATTAAAAAAACTTGAAGGTTCTCTAAGACTATATATGAAATTGAGAAGAACGAGGGAAAAAGATATGTCGGTTTTGGGGCCTTCATAAATTATTGTGATATTCATTGCTTGAACATGTAAAAATGTTGCAAATGTGGGGTTATTTTATAATATGTTTTACTAGGAAAAAATTGTAATTTTTTTCCAACCGAATTTTATCAGCAATTTTAATATTTTAATATATTTCAATATGCTGTTACCTTATATTCTTCATAGGTTGTTTCAACATGAACAAGAATTGTCACAGAACACTTGAAAATATCTGTAAAAAAACTGCAATAAAATGGTAGCAAAGTGCCTTTGTTTTGTGTTTTTATTTTCACGCTTGAATTTCTGTCTCGCTTGATGTATAAATAAGTAGACTGTGTTTAACACTCTGCTGGTTGCACCTTATGTGACAGGCCACGTGACACTTATTTTGTTTTCTTTAGGAATTTTTTAAGCACATATTTGGCCAAAATTGCACAAAGTAGTTTACTTCTTTCTCCTGTTATAACATAAGCGAAGGAACCAACTTTCAGATATTGCCCTTTTCCCTTTCATGCGTTTCCTAGAAATCAGAAGAGATAGGATGCACACGGTATTAATGCTATTTATTATCACAGCCAAGACTTTAGGCTTGGCCCATTTGTAAAGCAGCACATTTGTATGCATTCCGATGCCAAACCTTAGGCTATAGACAAAAATTCAATGTTATCCACTAAGCATGAGGATAATGATGTCGTAATTTAGTTAAAGAGAATGAGTGCTACGCAAGTTAAAATGAGCATAAAGTACTCTGTTTTGCTTTAAACTTCAAAAAACCTCTGTCCAGACAATGTAATTTATAAGGCAAGTGCACAGAGATAATTATTTTTGCAATGCCTGCGTTTACAAATGGTGTAAAAGCGATTAAAAATAACATGGACCCCCGAGTGGCAGAAAAATTATTTGAGGATGATAGTGGATGAACTTGGCGTCATTTCGGATACAGTTCATCAAATGTTTGTAAAAAACTTTTTCAAGAGAAAAATCTCGTTCTGTACCACGTTGTTTGTCTGAGAACTAAAAAACATGGTCGTGTTTGGTTTTCCATTATGATGATAAGAGTAAACGTTATAGGTTTTGAACGGAAATCGGAATCATCACCAAAAGAGAAGACAGCTCTGATGCACCTCTACCAATAGCATAGAAATACATTAACATTGTTTTCGGAGAACTTAAAAATTTAAATATTTTGGATCTCCATAAAAGAGGATTTTCAAATAAAAGTTTCATTCAGCTTGCAGCAATTAACCATTGAATATACTTTCCATGTTTCTTAATCTGCAAAAGTTATCGGGTTCTAAAACTGAAGATTCCTTTGAAAAGAAACTTCTGTAACGGCGTTTGAAGACTGTACTATCGAGTTTTCTGGTAATGTCGATATTACAGTCGTTGTATGTATTGAAATAAAATCGTTAAGTCGTTGTATGTATCGAAGCAAAATTAATGTACTTTGAATAAAAAATAAAAACCTCTGCTGTATTTTTATTCTTTGTTTTAAAAACTGTTTCATTAATTCATTGTACAATATGACAAAACTAGAGGAAGCGGACGAAACAGCAGGGGGGGGAAGGAATTTCGCCAATAGTTCTACATGTTGATTAACACTCCAGTTTTGATGCAAACCCCATATGGGACGGATCCGAAAGTCTATCACCTCTCTTCCCCTAACAGCAAGCTTTCCAAAGGACTTTTTGGCTTTTAAGTGCCCGGATGGCGCACAAGCACTACACACTTACAAACATCCATGCCTTGCCCAACTGTAGGACAGCCACCCTCGTTACCCACTACGCCGATCATTGCAGTAGATAGACTGGGTAGCATTATTTTACAGATTCGTCGGTTTAAGGCGATACCTTTGATATGCCTACAAGAATTGAAACATTTTCAGCCTCTCGGATGTTGAACTAGCTAGTGACCATCCCACCCACTTAGTCATTCATTAATTGCAATTCACTTAAGAGGCACATATTGACAATTGGTGTTCACTCACTCATTCGCAGTACATTAAACCCTCTCTAAGACGATAACCCACAGTTCGAGTTGATTTTGGTTTTCTGAGAGTGATGTTCGCAAGCGTCGAAAGAGCATGTGTAAAAATTTGCATATTTCCGTGTAGCGAATAAGAGTCCCATTGGAATACGTGAACGCTAACTTAAGCAACCAACTGCCTTTCACGGATTTCGCTTAACAGAATTCACATAAACCATATTTTTAATGTTGTTCCTTTAACTTTTCTATTAAATACTAGTATTTCTTTTAGATTAAGCATAGAAAAATCAATCATTTTAATATGTGATGAATTCGAATAATTATATTGATTTCTTATTATCGGAACAACTTCCCAGTGAACATAATGATGCAGTTTCCACTGAATTTGAAAAATAAAATGAACTGAATAGGATTTTGGCAAATACTTTGTTATATATAAATGCATATAAAAATTTCTCATAAATCGTAAGTTAAACACGATTTAGCGGTTATAAAGAGACTACTGAAATTATCATGAAATCGTATTACCATTAAATTGGAAAAGTGTCCTAATTAAATTTCAAACCTCTTTTACATTATGAAATGTTAACGTTTTGTTTATATATAATATGAAATGTTAACATATGTGAAATATGAATATATATATGAAATGTTAACATTTATTTATAGCTTGTCCAACTATTATATTTTTAAGCATATGTACATCGAAACGAAAATATTTTTCGAACTGTCCAGTAAAAAACAGTCGTTAAATCGAGGATGAATAGTAGATTGGATATGGTTGTGAAACAATAATTTAAACACATTATACCTTATGCATATAAAGTAGATTTGAAGAGCATGTTAAACTGGTTCGTGTGCTTTGATTATACGCCGTGTCCACATTGCTCTTTATTTTCATAACCGCTCACGTAGACACATACTTCTAAGCACAAATATGTAACTTTTTGCACGTTCTTATACATACCTATACTTATGTTTACGAAACTTTTATACTCGTTATAAAATAGACACGTTTGACCCCATATGAGAAAAGTTGACCGAGATATTTCATTTTTAAAATCCGAGATCATATTTGAAAGTGAACTTTTCTATCTATACGAGATAATTAGACATCAATCTAAAAAAACTGTTTCTGACGTTAATAGATTTTACTGACAAGCATTACAATGCAGACTGTCGTGAGAAGCATTGGTCAATAAAATAATTTTTTTTATTTTTTATTTTCTTGTTATTTTATTAGTCCAAAAGTGACATTAGTACCGAATGGGATATAAGTCTCGAAACAGCATTTTGCTTCGAAACACTTAAATACGTAGCATCACTTTTCAAATTGTTGCCGCCAAATATTATCGCCCTATATTATCTTTAATGAAATAAAACAATGAAGAATCTGCATGAATGTATGGTCTGCCTTTCGCAGTGTGAAATAAAGGTAACTAGAGCTATCAAATTTTGAGAAACGTTGTCTTACACCCGAACGTGTGCACCTGGAAGCCCGAATTTTGAGTTTATGAGTATTGTTTTATGAGCTGTTTCATATTTTGTAAAATTTTAACGAATTTTTTCATTAACAAACAATGATTTCAAAGCGAGCAGTTGCAACACAGTTTGAAATAAAACATTTTTATCTTCAACGGTTTCAATCTAAAACCATATTAGTAAGAAAACTGAACATTGATGTAATAAACTGAGAAAAGTCTGACGGAAAACCACAAAAAAATGTATGCTGACACTTAAGGCTGCATTTGGAATTTTAAAAGTATACTGCTGTACTATTTTCAAAATTTATGTAATTTAGTTGTTGAATTGTAGTATATGACGTAACTGCGAAGATAATGATGCTTAATAATAAATCTAAAGAGTCAGAAAAAAATAGGTTATTAGGAGGGAATGTAACAGCAGACTGGTAGACTGCGAGCTCAGCGAGAGAGTAAGAAACCTTAACAAAGCTTTTTGGGCTGACCGTTAGTCTGAAACCTTTCAGTCTTTGATGTTTTCATATATTGTGCATTGGAAACTTACATAAAAATATCAACATCAGGTTTATTTATTTTTGAAAAAAGTTTTATTTACCTAAATTTACAAATCCGTATTCTATAAAACCACTGGCAGGTTTTAATAGCCAACTCTTAATATAAACTCCATAAATTAAATATTTTTAGCTCTAAGAATTTTCTGTACGATTATTAAATTATGATTCTGAAATCGATAAATTTCGCGAGAATTTTGTAGCATATTCGTAGCTTTTGAAAACTCAAGTCACTTGTACGAAAATCATTTCGGCATACCAACTGTAACACAGTTATAAATTAAAGAATGTCACAAAACAGTAAATCACAAAAAGAATAGCATTGAATGGCATTTAAAGCGAAAAAGGTCAACCCCGAATTTTCCCAATTTATTTATTAACCGTCTCCTTAATAGAAGCTGAAAATATCAAATATTCCAAAATTTGAAACTGAATATGTGGGTTAGTTTTTGTAGTTATGAAATCAAACTTTTTCCCTCAATAATTCCCAATAAACTGTTTCAAAATATAATATAAGTATGTCCGAGGAAACATATAGAAAGTTAGATGTTATAATTTTCAAAATAATTTTTTTTAAATTTAAGAATGTAAATATATCTGGGTTTTTTTAAAACATTTTTCATAATTAGAACTTTAGAATTAAGAGTTCGTAATTAGAATTTGTAATTAGAAGTTTAAAACGTTTTCGTAATTAGAATTTGGTTGTCCACAACTAACGGTTTAGAAAACAAAGAACTTTGGGGAACACACAAGTGGTTTAAAGACTATAGCCATGGTTCGTCCTGTGTTCGAGCCAGCGGCCGAGTGGTAAAGACGTTGAACACTGGTAATTCAGTCCGAGGTTCGAATCCCGTGAACGGGCTGGGCTGCATGGGCGTTTTAATAGTTTTCCCCGTGTGTAACGTGTATACGAGCCAGTTTCCCTTAGAAAGTCCTCCACGAAGGCATCCCTCCCTTTAGGCAGATAGCCCTCGTGTGCTTTGCCATAATTGAATAATCCAATCCGTCCTGTGTTCAGGGCAACCAACAGCTGAGCTCTGTACACTGGTAGTTCGATCTGGGTTCAAATCCAGGCATGGCCATTTTCTTTGTTTTCGCCATGTGTAAGATAAATACGCGTCAATTTCATTGAAAAATCTTCCATGAAGGCATTCTTCAGGCACATAACCCTAGAGTGCTTTGTCATAATCATAAACCAAATCAGACCCTCTTAAGCATATTGAAAATGTATATTTTTAAGCAAATATTACA